ATCGGTCTCCACTTCAGGATCAAGCCCGTCTGAGGGGGCTACGCAGTCGACCACGCTGCTGTCCTATGTGCTAGCATCAAGCAATCCAACATCAGGAGGTTGTCATATCCACCAACATGATGGCAACTTGTCCCAAGGGTTCTAGAACATCTTGATAGAACGGTAGGTGAAAGAAGGAGTTGGACAAGAGCTGTCCTGACCAGTTATGAAAGATAGACATCAGTCGTGGCCGCACGCAAAAAGGCCAATGACGAAGCTGCGATAGCAATGGTGAGCTGATCTGATCAAGAAGTTAACGCCTTGTGTGCTCAATTGCTGTGGTGCATGCTTGAGTTTTTGCTGTTGCGGTCTTTCTGGGATGTCGTCGCAAGCTTGGGCTGCTCAGAAAAACTGAGGGTCGTAGCGTGATAACAATTCGAGGTGAGCAACAGATGCTTTACGACACAGCTTGGGGTTCTTTGTATGGCATCTGTGCAGCTAGACTCTAGGTCTCCCGAAGGTCTGTTGATCTCCACTTGGGGCATTGCGCCTATTGCCATGGAGCAAGTGAAGCTTCCCTTGTGTGGGGAGGGCAAGTCGGAGGCACCTCTTCAGTCTCACCGCTTTTTGCAGGAGACGGCGCTGAAGCTGTCCTCGGATTCTCAACGTACGGGCTATGAGTCGGTCTGCGGTGATCGCTCGCAGATGTCGACCCCACCGACCATCACCCCTCCAAAAAGCAGAATGTCATCAACAGCACAACATCGTGAAGACGAAAGGCTGATGAGAAGCAGCTTCCTAGCCGAAGCTGGCGAATGTATTCGTGCCTTGCAGGCAGTCTTCGATAATGCTCATGCATCTATGTTCCAGTCCCGCTTTGAGGACTGGCGCAAAGTTGATTTGAAAGCCACTGCACAGTTGCAGCAGCATGTTAAGACATTGCTGAAGCTGGATGGGAGTCTTGAGGATTTTTTGGGTCGGTGCTCGGCCGTTGAGACGTTTCAGGAGTTCCATGGGACCATGGACACCCTCTCACAGGCAATCCTTGAAGTAAAGGATTTCCGTGCAGACTTCACCTCAGCCATTGATCAAATAGCCGATGGCATTACCCAGCGAGTTGCCACTTCCCTGCGCAGCTTTGATGAGGAGAGAAATCTTTGGCTGCAGAAAACCCTGGAAACTCAGAGCCAGGTCCAGGAAAGCATGATCCTTACGCAGCGAAAGATCTGGAACCGCCTCGAGACTTTGGGTTATTCTGTGGATCAGCAAGCGAAGGCGTCGAAGGCTCAAAAGGAGCAGCTGACGAGACTGGAGTCGGTGCAATCTGCGATACAGCAAGACTGCCAGTCTCTGGTAGATTTGCAGCAGAGCGTCTTCAAGAGTTTTAACAACTCTGCCGAGCAGCAAGAGTCCCTGCAGGATAACATTTTCAGCAACATCGGGAGTGGAATGGAGAAGTTGGAGTCCTACATGGTGAACTCTTTGGGTTGGACCTCTGAGCTGCCTTCGCTTTCTGCAGCTTTCAGCGGCCTGGAGGGCCGGTTGACAGAATGGAAGACGAAGTCACTGCAGGAGGCCATGTCTTTGCATCTGGAGGTCTCCAGGTTGGAGAGCACTCTGCGCGAGACGGAGGGCGACCTGGGCCGGACTCGGCAAGAGAAGGCCGAGAGCCTTTCGCAGCAACAGCTTCTGAATGGCCAGCTGGAGTCCTTAAGGGACACACTGCAGCAGACGCACTCACAGCTTGAGACAGCAGAGCTGGCATCCTTGTTGAATAGCATGAAGCGGATTCGGGAGATTGAAACGAATGGCCACGTAAAGCTTGACCGGCAGTTTGGGCGGATAGTGCTTCTCCAACAGCTAGCGTTCAGTCCAGCGGCTCCGCCTAAAGACGCCAAGCAAAGTCCACCAGTCTCCCTTGCAGATGCGTCACAAGCCGAAGCAGTGCTGGATGATGTCTTTGAAGTTGTGAACATGTTTCAGGTTCCTGTGAGCATTACTATCAGCCTCAAGATGCCCAAGGGAGGTGACACGGCCGTCTGGCAGGACATGGCTGCCAAGCGAGCCCAGGTGTTAAGAAACTACCTTGTTGATGCTGGGTTTCCAGAGGACAAAGTGCAAACAGGAGGTGCTGTGGGTGCCAGTGAGGCACAGATACAGCTGCAAGATTCCTCGGTTTTTCCCCCGAAGCCCCCTGCAAAGAATGCAAAGTCGCCCCGCTAGTGCATGGCCTAAGCATGTCCACGTGGTGTCTACTGAAAGACTCATAAAGACCCACCCGCAGCGGTCAACAAGGCACATCGGCGGGTGGAGCTTGCGTTTCATGTTAGATGCAGCCAAAGTGCTCTCAGATTTTTTGCCAGCAGAAAGTGCTGGTGGCCAAACCCTGAGAAGTTTCACGTCGCCAAAGAATCGTTCAGCGTTGTTGTTGGTCTTGATGTTATGCATCTATGCGGTCGAGTGAACTCCAGTCCTGGTCGGGGGGCGCTTCGGGAAGCTGCAAGTTGCACAGATAGGTCGACATGACGACATCTCCAGTCCGTCTCAGTCCTTTTGGCTGATAGTCGACACTCGATCGTGCAAACCCCTTGCAAGCGAGCAGGGTGCAGCAGAGTGCAATGCAGCAGTAAACAAAACATGCACAAGTCAGACCTCCCAGCGCTTCTCCTGTACGCACGTTTTCCTTTCGGAGCTGCGCAGTTTCATCTCTTTGCTCGGTTCTCAGCCGACCTGGGAGCTTTCCGAGCGCATCACTTGACCTGCTCTCGCAGGGTCTTTTGCCTGAGATTCGAGATACATGTCGGCAAGGGCCCCAGTTGCCTTCCGAGTCGATTCAGGGTTTGCGTTCTTAGCTATTGCTGCGAGGTCACTGTGTATGATGGGCAGTACAGCTTCAGGCCCGAGGATGTTTGTGCATGACGATGCTCGGACGGTTGCTGAGCTGCGCAGGCAGAATGAGCTGGCAACAAAGGGTGTACAGCATGGAGGCCACCGAATGTCAGCGGAGCAGTCGGCTTGGATGCCCCGTTGCGAGTCCATGCAAAGGATCGTTGGGCTGACAGGGCATGTTTGTCATCTCTGCCAAGGCAATCCAAAGCTTTCGAGTCCAGCCCGTTCATGGTGAAGGCACGCAATTGGGCTTCGCACAAATTCATCCCACACGGTTCCGAGAGAGTGGGCGACTGATCGCAGTGCTCAGGCTCGCCAACAGGAGCAATATGTGTCTGATACTTGGCATCCAAGCAAGGGAGCACGTTGCCCATTGTACTTGCCGTCCGGTGAATCTGACAGGTCGCAGCTGACCGGCGAGCGCGACAAGATGCGGAAGCAGACTGACAAGGCGCCTTAGAGAGATGCATCTAAACGAGTGCGCCGCAGGAGTCTGAAGAGAGTGAGTTGATCTGCTCAGGACTTTAACCCTTGCGATGATGACTTCACCGCGCCCAAGGCCTGCCAGGGCCCGCGCAAGGGCAGGGGCCGCGAGGGGCGCGTTTGCCATGTGGTGCAGGCTTATGACTACGACAAGGGCGTCAACTATTACACGGTAGCCCCGGCCGTTTGTGTTTCGAGCATCGCAATGCTTCCTTCGGCGGCTCCCGAAATCCACCCTTTGCAACGGTCTCGTAGGTCCTTTTCCGTGCTAGTCCGTGGATTTGGGACGAGCCGACGCAGAATTTTAAAAGATAGGTCCTTGGAGTTGATGAATATGCACCATTGGAAGAGATCAAGAAGGCGGGAATTAGATATGTGGCCATTTTGCCGTGGTCTTGCAAAAGAAGTGTCATGGCCATGTGGAACTGTGATGAACTGTGGGTACGTGGTGCCAACTGCAGGCCTACAAGAAATTGTCCTTGATCTACCATCCGGACAAGATGGCCGGCCTCTCCAAAGAGGAGCAGGGATATGCTGAGACCCAAGTCAGCATCTGGGCTTGTTTCGTCAATGAGCAAAGGAGCAGGAAGAACGAGCGGGAGTCTTCATTGAAATCAAGCGCGTGCCTTAAATCAGCAAAGGCAGTAAGTGCTCAGTGTCAAAGCAATGTGCTTGTGTTTCAAGGAATGCCTACCTTGTGCTCGGCGACCAGGCTTCGAACTTTGTGCTGGAACACTGTTTCCCAACATCATGAGGCGTGTGTTCGGTTGTGCTTTAGATTCCCTGTCCCGCCGTGTGGGCCCAAACCTCTTGTCTCAAAGCCCGCTCCAGGACCAATGGGAGCTTGTTCAGTCCCGTCCCTGTCAGCTGCAACACTCTTCGCAAGCATTCTGCAGGACTCCTGGAGGGGTCTTCCGTCCGAGACAATGAAGGCCAAAGCTGCACATTTGGCACCACCAATCCGTCTACAAAGGTGCAGACTTTCCCGAAGACCAGGTGCTTCCAGTCTTCGTGTTTTTGCAGCTGCATTTGCAGCTGTGTGTGGCGCCGCTTGCTCCTGCAGTTTATTGCTGACTGCTACGACGAAGGGAAAGAGGTTGCCGACTCAAGTGTGTGCTGCTCACATCCCGCCTCTGTGAGGTTCAAAAGCCAAGTGTGCCACGGACGGCATTAATGTGCAACCTGCAGCAGTAGAGCCTGCCGGATTTGCCTTAGAAGGTCAGAGGATGTCCACAAGTTATCACGTGATTCAGCTGCTCGGCCAATATTCAGTCATGCTTCGCCTGAGTAGAGACGGCTCGCCTGCCTCGTGTTGTCGCAGCTCAGCCAGTAGGCTGTTGCCAGACACGCATTTTCGATCAGCTGTCATATGCTCTGCAGCTTGGCTCAGTCATAAAAAGCAGCCAGCACGGAGGGTGCAGTAGAAAATCATGGCTGAAGAGGAGGACTTCTACGTGCGTTACTACGTGGGTCACAAGGGCAAGTTCGGGCATGAGTTCCTGGAGTTTGAGTTCAGGCCAGACGGTCGACT